ATTGCAAAAGCGTTAATCGAAGATCATATGCAAATGACTGCACTGGATGTGTGTATGTCGGATGCGGTAGCTGTCATACCCGTAACTGGGACGCTGCTGTCCGTAATTGCCACCTCCATCGAGCCTCTTAGTCTCAATCTTGGTTTGAACAGCTTGTCTGATCCAAGAGAACGGCCAGTTACGGCATTAAGATTAAAAAAATTGTTAGAACCCTCAAGAGCAAGCTCGAAAGAGGAGAAAAGGTAAGCTCTGAGCAAACTGAGAAGAAGAGTGTGTATGATCCTAAAATGACCGTAAAACTTTTTGAGCAACTGTACAAAGCATCAGTGAATTAGTAACGCGCAGTTGTACAGAAAAATGAAGAATATACTAGTCGGCAATCATCACCACAGCCAGACAAAATAATACCAGAGAAACGAATTGCTCGCCCAAGTGAAATAATGGGGGTTCGCAATAGAGGGTTGGGCCAAAGTCGAAAATTAGCTCAAAAACGGTCGAGCATGCGTAGACAAGTTATCGGTACGCGATTCGGCCTCTACACTGGTGTCTTGCTAGTGTAGGTCGGTCAGTTATGAAAATGAATGTGAAGGCTTGGACGAGTGGTCCGATCCAAGAGAACGGCTACATAGGCTCTGTGGAGGTGGCAATTACGGCCAGCAGCATCACAGAAACAGTATGACAGCTGTCTTGCCGCCATCCGATCTCTCCACTGGATTGTTTGACGGGGTAGTTGGATGTGGCACAACAGTATCATGACTGGGTCATGTTAGTGACAGCAGTTTGCAGTTACTTAGCAACTTCATCAATGTGAACAAGGAGGAAAATTGAGGCACTGAGGCAATTGTGACCGTCTCGACGGTTTTGATGTCTGTGAACAAAGGAGTCTATAGTTACCCATTAATGCGCTAGTGAGAAGAAGGATTGTCATTGAGTAAATGAGGAATTGTTTGCAAGGGTTGACGAAGTGGAAAAAGTCTGGCAGGGCCAGCTCGAAGTTGATGGAGGATGTTGGTTGTTCCATAAGCGAAAATATTCCATAATGGCTGCATGCCGTTGATTAGTTGAGAGTACCTTGTAGTTCAAATATTGTGATGTGTGTACCGCACTGTGCTTTGCAAGTTTCATGTATTCGGGCTTTGTTAAAAAATAGACGCACGCTTGTTGGAGGTACCTGATAGACTGCAGGTCAATGTGAATGTCTGTTGTCCACAAATGACTTGTGCAATGAACTGGGTTTACAAAGAATCAAAGCCATGGAACCTTTTACGCAATTTTAGCATCCGAGAACTTGTTGCGGAAGAATAAGGCACTGAAAATCTTGTAATTCTTGTATGACATAGCGGAGATAGCGTTTGTCTTTACGGTAGGTATGTTGTTGAGGCCTTCGGCGGATACAGGCCGTTTGGTATAGGAAGGGGAAGGGTATTGGAAAGTTGGGTGATGTGGGAAACGTTATTGTTAGCACAATAATAGGTAACGAAATCTTCAGCAGGACTGCATCTACAGGTATCTGATAAGGGAGACGGTAAAGAGGATCGTAATTCGCCGCACCGCCACGCGCGGCGATGGGCGCGGCGTTTTCATTTTAACCTGTCGAATGAAGCACCGGACTTCATGTAGACCCCGTCATCGTAGACACTCATTACTGTTTTCGGTCCTTAATTGCATGTTGTCGCCATCTACTGCCTGAAACCATCGTCCTTTGCGGGCGGGACGTCGCACGCGACGCCCAGCAGCGCGGCAAATTACGATCCTCTTGTCACATACCCATTGATAATGCCATCATTAGTGTGGATGTCGTTATGTGGTTTAGTTGGGTTAGAGTTGCATGCGTAGCTGAATTCGGTTTCTGTGTGAACATACGCTATAACATTTTATTTGTCTGCTCGTTTTCGTTCTATGAAAATACTTCTTCTTCATCCGCCATGAGTCGTCGGAATGCATAGAAGGATTAGGTGTTGGAGGCATGTAAAATCGAAGCCCCGACGGTGTAGCCGATAGGCTCCTTGCAACGGTAGGTCCAGGAATAAGAGTTAAAGCAGTTGGTCTTCCTGTTCCAGAAGATCTGGTTCTAGCTACGGGTTAAAACGTACCGGAACTTCTCCTTCTCCTTGCTGAGGATTCGGGGAGGGTGGAAATACGGATCATTGAGCATCTTGCGATTGGGTCGTCGTCATCGAGACCCAAATCATTGGGACGTGGAGGGGGGCTGGAAGGAGGGCGTCGTTGTCACTCTCATCATGTAGACGGAGCGTTGTGGGTGGAGCTCAGAGAATCTCGCTCCTCGCTAAAGACGAGGACACTGACGACATATCTGACGGATTGAGAATAAAGTTGATTACAATGAATAATTATTTCCTTTCAGCTTGCAGAAAATGGGAGGCATTGTAGGATCGTGGAAGTGTGTGGTGTGCACTTATGCATCACAATTTTATTATTAACTAATAAAACGAGTGTTAATCAATAATCAGTCAAATCAATATTCAATGTATCAATCAAATCAATATTCACTGCATTAATTCTGCTATATTTTATACATATTATAGTAATTAAACAAATGATTAAAGTTATCAGAGGTTTACCCTAAGAAAAAAGATCACTTGATGCTTCTACTCATCCTCGTCTGAGGAGTAAACACCTTCTTCTTGTTCCGGCCACGAATCGTCTGATTCGTCGGAGGCAATGGACGAGTGGGGAGTCTGTGGACTATAGAAACTTAGCATCCCACGATGGTGCCAGTAAGCTCGCTGCCAGGGCAGGTCATAGTACAATGAATGGAGCAGCTCGTCGTCCTGCTTCCGGCAGGTGGTTCCATCCACAGGGTTGTACCGCACCGGAATCCTCTCCTTGCGGGTTGGGACGCGGGTGGAAAAATGGGTCATGGAGCCATCGTTGAATAGGATCTTCAGGATCAAGCTTCAAAAACCTCGCGATGTGGTGGGGGACTGGGAGGTGGGGTTTCGTGGTGGTTCTCGTCGTGTAACGACGGAGCATTGGAATGAACGGATTCGCTGTCAGATGAGTATGACGATGCTGCTGACATTGCTAACTCTCTGAGACTAAAGCTGTACATTGAGAGTAGAGCTTTTATACTGTAGAAGGGATAGAACGGATATAAAAAGGTTAGATAGTTTTCCTCCGGGAATTTGTAGGAATAGTTTTCCGTGGAAATCTGCGAAATTCCCCTTCTCTACAAGTTGTGGGCATGGTCTTCTAGTTTGCGATTTTGTTATTTAAGCGCTATTTTTATGTATGTAGTGTATACATGTTTTTTGATCGAAGTGTCTAAAAAGTCGGTAGCTGCCTAATTGTTGTGCGACCTTTTGCTTAGTATAATTGGCTCTCATTATGGTCTTGTGTCCATTAGTCTTTCGCAGTGCGAGGGTGTGTTTGCAATTGAGAGTACCGTGAGTCTTCTTACGCGTTGAGTTGATGGCTACGTATGAGTCATCAATAGTTGGCATGTGCTGACGGTTCAGTGCAGCGTCATTCGGCAGCGAAGCTATCGTATTGTTTATCGGGTGACGCGGAGAAACAGCTGCGAATCAGCTGGTCGTTGCATTGCGCCGCGTCGATGCCGATGTAGAGTTTTTGAAGGGGTAAAATGTTTTATTACCGCATTAATATTCATAAGCTAAACGGTAATAGGTAGCGTGTCAACTACATGAGTGTGTCGTAGTTGAAATTTCTTTCAGTATCCTATGTGTACTCGTTCACTAGATTTGGCCATATGTTGAGAATTTCTATGATGAAGTTCGTGAAGTGTAATTGTGTGTGAGTTGAGAGTCGAATTGCTCGCGAGCGTGTCTTTTGGTGGATCGTGTAGTGTATTATGTAGTGCGTTATTTAGTGTGTTTTGAAGATTTTTCCAGTATTCGTGTGTAATCACCAAATAGATCTGTCTGTATGGGGAGTAGGTGACTACCGTGTGCATTGCCCTCGAGGACTATAGTTTCAAGTGGTTTGCACGCATTGATTGAGGAGTTCTCATATTACTCGTAAGGTCGGTAGGCTGGAATCTCGTAATGCAAAAGTGTATACGATCATGCTAGAGTATTAATAGCAACTCTGTGTAAAATGACGAAGTAAGATCAAAATTTTTTTTTTTTTTGTTTTTGCAGGTTTTAGTTTTGCTGACAGTTGCGAGGTGAAGCCTCATGTATGTTGTGACCCGGCTCAATTCTGCAAATGTGTAACTTACTGTTAGGCTAGCTAGCTTCTAGTGTGTGACTCCTAACTCTCGGTGTGGCGCCAATATTGTGAAGACAAACTTGAAAGCCTCCATTTTCGAGGCAGACACAAGTCTCCATTTTATGACGGCACACCTAAAAGTCTCCATTTTATGATGGCAGACTTCGGTTATCTCCTTGGCTGATGTTTTCTTTTCGGCGGCCATGCCTTTTCGGAGCACTTGTGGTAGTTGGTGCCTCTGGAAAGCGTGCTGGTTCTCTATGGTCCTAACATTGTCATACCGGTTCTCTGTTTTCCTCAACTCTTTCTCGAGCTCCTCAATGAGACGCCTGAGTAGGGCTGATCTTAACTGCGCCCAATCGAGCACTTTCCTTGAGTCCACTTCAAACCGATGTTTCCGATCGAGCCATGCATGTCGATGGATGGAATTCAGCCTTCCAATCACGACTTGTTCCTCGAAAAGTCGATCCAGGAGGGTGTATCGCGTTACAAGCTTCGCGATTTTTTCAGCTGTTTGTTCGGCTGTGCGGAGTAATCTGAGTATGCGGAGAACTTGTTCGCCAGCTCCGCCCAGCACATAATGCTCGTCCCCTTTACAGTGATTCCAGTCTACTTGAAGGACTGCTGCCAGGTCGACTTGTTGGTGAAGGGCTTCTAGTGTGAGAGTCAAGTCATTTTCGAAGCCACTTGCTGTTTGGTTGTTGCTGCCTAAGTAATTGGATAAGCAGCCGAAGTCGTTGTCTTCGTACCGGTGTTCCATTCTGAAATTGTTCTACTTGACTAAGACGGAAAAAGTAGAAAATTATCTTATGCTACAAATCTATTATTTTAATGATGTACTTGCGTGTTGGCGGAACTACACGCGCTTATTATGGAAGTGTTTGTTGATTCCCTTGGGGAGCAGACTTTGGCAAGTTGGTTCGCGATCTCCCATAGCAAACGTAGGGGGATGAAGGAAGGTTTTTAAAATCAAGCGAACCGTGCTTATCAGAATTCGCATTCCGCAAGCTGAGAGAAATATGTATGTGGCTTCTAGCAGTAGGAAAAGTGTGAAAGAACGCTAGCATAAGCGACTTGTACCACTGCAGAAAGACATCTCCGATGTGCCATAAGTCCGGCCACTGGGTTTCTGCTCCTACGTGGGTTTCACCCCTGAGCCACTTGTTTATTGTTCCCGAAGCAGTGTATGTAAATTTCAGAATCTCGCTAATTTCAAAGCTGTTCGCTACTGTGCCGCACGGCGTATTTTTGGTGTATGCGAGCTTTATCGAAGCTGAATCGCAGAGTGGAAGTCTTTCCATTTGGATTACATTCTATGGAGAAACTTGTTGTTGCACACAACTTCTGCCTGGATGGGCTTCGATGTGACGCAAACCACCGGAGCAGTCGCTCCTTTTGCACACCTGTAACAGTCAGTTAGATGTGAATTCGTTACATATGGCATCATCTATAGCCTCATTAGTGGTTAAATTGTCCTTAATCGTGACCACGATATCTGCCGTTGTCATACTTGGGACGTCGGCTTGAACTCGCCCTTCTCTGTTGCGCTTGAAGGTCAGCGACGGTGAAATAATAGGAAGGCGATGTTTTAGGTCCTCCATCCAAGGCGCAATGTTTACATCCTTGCACTTACAGTTTGCTGTTGTTACAGCTGGGTAACAGTCGCAGTTGTCTATTGCTTCACATGTAAGACTTCTGGCCCCCGCTTCGTTCCCACATTTCAATGCCGGTTTGTTTTCGGCATTCCAGAGAGCCACCGCGTCGAATTTCCATTGAACTTGGTGTTCATGTAGGATCAGTGGCGGAAATTTTACTGTTTCAGTCTCTTTTGGCTCCGTATAAGTCTGGCAATAATTCTCAGCACAGATCTCATATGTATTTGTTCGATGGTGGATAATTCCACACCTCCTGCAACACACTGTATGGCTCTTTTCTCATTCGCGAGTTCTAGAGTGTTACCCAGACTGAGCATGAGAAGAATTCCCAAGAAATAAGGTAACCATCCAGAATTTCGTACGATGTCAACGTTGTAATTGATCTTTCTCCGTTCTCTGAGGTTGTAATGTGTAGTGTTACCTTCATTCTTTTGCGCTGTCTTCCGCTTAGTGTCGTCACCATCCTCTACTTGTATCTTGTCACGCTCCTCCTCGTTGTCTTGTTCTCCCTTGTAGTGTTCGAGTTCCAAGGGGATCAGCTGGTTCACGGGCCTTCTGATGGACCGGTGTGAAGGAAGCTTCACTACTGCTTCTCTTATTGCACCGTTGTGATCGACTAAGTCCTCAATCCGTCCTATTCGCCAGGAGTGTCGTGGTTGTACAGGATCACTTATCAGGACTAACGATCCTTTTACTGGATGATGACTTGACCCTCGCTGTTTTCCGACTTCTAATTGATGTTTTTCTCTCAGCGATGTCAAATACTCGGCTCGCCAGGTCTGCCAGAATTTTTCAGTGAGCTTGCAAGAATTTCGCAAGGCATAAGTGGCCTGGGCTTTTGTGCGTATAGCGACTTGCTCTTCTGGCGGTATGAATGGATCGGTGGTTCAATGGTAGAATGCTCGTCTGCCAGGCGGGCGGCCCGGGTTCGATTCCCGGCCGATGCACCATGCAGCGAATTCTGTGGTAGAGTTCCCTGTGATATGCCACGCGGGTGTAGTAGCAAATTTATCGACGCACTTGTAATCGACAGTGTACAGGCTCAGACTCAGCCCCATCAGCTCTTCTGACCCTTTTTATATGCGCCCCTGCGCCGCCCCGTCGAGCTGATGAAGCTGATAAGCTAAAGATAAGATATAGATAAGAAGGATAAGATAAAGATAGATAAGATAAAGCTTCTACATGAGAAAAGCGTAATTGAAATCTGTCCTAAATTATGATAAATAAATGAAATACAGAACAACAAATAACATAGCACAACAATACAAAGAATGGATCAAGTCGACTTCCTTGTCGACAAGTATGTAGGAGGCATACAGGATACACCATGACTTTAACGTGAGAGTTAAATGCGCAGATTATTTGAATGGGGAGCAAGGGCCACCGTTGTGTCATAAGGTGTATTTGTGGGCTCTATCGACGACGAAAGGTGACATTTTTGAAATATAGTTACGAATTTATTCTTTTTGTACTGTGCTGTTATTTGTCGTGATTACTTGTTCGAGCATTTTCTCTCCATTGAGCCGATTTATAGTGGTGTACTACCACTCGGAATGTTCATAGAGTGTCTTGTTATGGTTTTGTTTGAGCTTGCCAGTGTGGTTAGCGGATGGACCGTGCTTGTTGATGGATAGATCTACCCTAAACATGTATGGTGCCTTTTTAAGGGTTCAGTCGAATAACCTTGTGTAGAAGGGGAAGTTGGAAAATATCGACTGATTCAGAAGGTTCTTGTTGTTATGCGTTGCGCGCGCGTTCATGACAACTGAAAATGTATCGATACAGTGGGCTAGAGCCCTGATTAATCCCAGGTTGGAGGGGGCTTCCCTCAAGGAGTACAGATTGGAGGGGGCTTCCCTCAAGGAGTACATAGTGGAGGGGCTTCCCTCAAGGGGTTCAGGTTGTGTCATGAATTTGACAAACTGACTTGACGTAGTTGGCGTCTAGACAGGCTGTCACGATGCCGGCCGGCGAATTACAATGAACAGAAAGCTCTGGTTAAAGTGGATGAAGCGATATGTACATATTTACAAATGGGTTTTTTTTGTTTATGTACATAAGATCGACTCGACGTGCCCTACTAGAAAGGGTGAACATGTCACGTCTGACTGTTCGAGATCGCTTCAAGCACCACGACGTAGTAACCGTATGGTATAAACTGTTAACGTATGAAATTTTTTTTGGTTTTTTTTGGTTTTTTGTTGTTTTTTTCTTCATCGTCTTAGTTGATGGCGGTCTGATGAACCGAGCCTATTGTATTTATTAGTGCACTGATGATAGCTTGGTGGAACTGATCTTGGTGCTGTTTATTCTTTCATAGAATTTTGTCCCTTTTTTTGAGGTGATTTAGCAATGTGGTATGAAAAGTGGTGTGGTACTGCGAAGTTCAAGGATGGAGAACTTGAGTGTTTCGATGGTGTTAAGTGTGTTTTCGATTACGGGCTACAATGTGATTTACTGTTACTTTTTTGTATTAATAATGTGCTTACTTACCTAATCATTGAATTCATGAGGTTTTTTTGCATTTTATGATTTTATTTTTACTTTTATTTTATTTTATTTCTTGTATTTATTTATTGCATTTTATTTTTAGTGACAGCCACTGGTTCTTAAATTGGCCGATGCACCATGAAACGGCGTGTTCGTGGTAGACTGCTCGCTAACACAATTTATTTCAAAGTGTTTATTACACAACAAAGCGTATACGGTGGTTACAACAACTGAGTACCTACGGCTACCTAACTGTCTAAGGGAACGTGTTGTGTATTGGGTGTGTTAATGAAACAACAGTGTTAGTGTCGTGTGTATCGATTAAGTGGCGAGTCCGCTGGAGTGCCTGTCCCTTGCCATGCGTGTTGAGTTCTTGGGCTAGATGCGCAGTGGCGTCCCTTAGGTTATTTGCGTCACACGTCTTGGGTTATTTGAGGGACGACCGGAGTCGCTTGTTGGAGAGGCGACCAGTTGGGTTGAGCGAACCGAGCGAAGACTGCCTCGAACTGCCGGAGCGCGGTATTTGTACCCCAAAAAGTGGGCGGCACAGGTGGCTTCGCCTATTGGCTGGATGCCGCTCGTTATGGGGCTGCGAGGCTCCACTGCTCGAATCTTGTATTGATTGTTTTTGTGAATTAACGTTTCAGCAATCTGTTGAAGAAGTAATAATATGATTATCATGACCTGAGGGTCATGGCAGTGGTATTGAGGCTTCTAAAGAAAGAGGGATGTGTTCGTGTCTGTGTTACCTGGTTCGGGTTCTTGATGTGGCCGATGCACCATGTTTTGAACTGATCACGGTTCAAATAAGGTTTTGGTAGTTCAGTGGTAGGTTACATGTTTATTGGTAACACATAGCACATACAGCATGACTACAATCATTAAACTACAAGCATAAACATATGAGGCTAAACTACTGGCATATTCGTGTCAAATGCAAGTCAAATTGTGTTGTCTTGTGTTCTTCTTCAGGCGATAGCGGGTCCGCAGTGTCTTGTGTCTCGTCTCCTGTGTTGGCACATCGTGTTCGTTCTTGTCCCTATGTGCTCGTGATGTGAAAGCAGTGAAACTGAGAGAAGAAACCGTGAAGAACTGCGAAGAGCGAGAGTGCCCGTAGGGCCTCAGCCGCCACCTTTATAGCCCTGATTGTGGGTGGTATAAATACCGGCTCAGGTGGGCGGCACCAAGGCCTCCTATTGGTTGGTTACAGGCGATGAGAACTTTCTAGAAAATGTGCATTTGCGTGCATCCTAGTCATCATGACCAAGGGTCATGACAGAATCCATGAATTCTACATTTTCTTGAACACGAGCCGCCTCTGCTCCTCGAGTATCTGGTGAATTACCCTGAGTCATCGGTTGCTCTACTACTTCCTGCGGTTCCTTCGGATCCCCGCCGTGCTCAGAGTCTTGGCAGTTCGGGTAGTTGGTATCAACTAGAGCTCTGAACGAAGGAGCGACAGCGTCGTCTTCCTCTTTCGTCACAGAAGTGGTGAGTAGTCTAAGCTCCAGTGATTCTAACTTTGAGCGAATCATATGGAGTTCTATCACGACGCACTTATTGAATTTTTCGATTTCTTTGTCATCTCATTTGAACAGCTCACCCTCCAGTTCATCCAGCTTCCAAGTACACTTGTCTAGTTTCTCCAAG